TATGTAGAGAAAGATGGTGTACGTTTGGGGTGCGGGAGAGGTCAAATCTCAAAAATTTTGTTTTCAAAATGTTCCTCGTCATGTAATCTATTGGAATATATGGGTCGTTTTCGTGTAGGAAGGGTGGTAGATTTCGTTACTTATCCGACGTGGTCCTTTGTTTTGTACTCTGTAAGACGATTGAGTTCAATAAAAATTGATGATAATCTTAAACACACACACACAAAGTTAACAAAATGAATTCTCAGTTTTATAGTTAACAAGACAAGAATGTGTTCTTTCTTTTTCATTCAATTATTTTATTCTTTTTGTTTTTATGGAGAAAAAAAAATGACAAAAATATTTTACAAATAATAACCCATAAAAAGAAAAGAATCCTAATACACAACATAAAATATTTAAAAACAAAAATAATGAACTGAACAGAACAAAACTGAAAATAAAATAACAGGACATTAGAATTTTTGCATTAAAAATATTTTTGAACAAATCAAACAAAAACTGAACCACATTACATTGGCACATACTTGAGAAAAAAAACCCTGATTATGAATTCAAAGAACAACAAAAACAAAATAGATTTCTTCGAGCGATTATTTCATTGTTTTTGTTTTTATTTTTGCCTGCTTATAACAAGTACATTTATTTATTCTAGATACTTTTGAAATTCTGTCCAGTAGATCTGTCTAAATATTGTGCCTTTAATGAATATATCCTATTCGAAAATTTTCTATTTTTTTTTTGAATTCTGTTTTTTCAAAATACAATTCCGTTAATAGTGCAGAAGGCGTCATTTGTTTGTCAGTAATAATATTTTCTGTCTGTCTGTCTAATTAAACGAGAATTTACAATTAAATAAAAATGTAGCACAAGTCGACTCTTCTTCATCTTCTTAAATTACAGAACGGACACATCAACTGATTCTCTTTTAAATAAACTTAAAAGCAACTCATATGTGTTTGTAGAGAAAGAAAAATTGTTTACACAAATTTTTGTTTTTGATAAACTTAAAAATTGTGAAAAAAAATCTTGATTATTCATTTTATTAATACTTTTTAACAATATATGTGAAATATAGTCAATAAAAAATTCTGTTTTCAACAATATTTTCAAAATGTTTTTAAACTCTTACAAATCGATCTCAATTTTCAAAAGACTTTGATATAATAAAAATGTTGTACATTTAATATTTATGTGATTATTTCTACTTTTTTTATTATTCACTCGGATTAATCAATATCGTTCTGTAGAAATATTAATTTCATTCTAATAAACTACTTGATGTTTTCATCTATTATCAGATTCAAAAATGAAACATATCAATTCAAAAAATAGTTCGTTGATAAATACTATCATATCTATGTCTCTCTCTCTAGGCATGATTAATCATATTTTTACCGCATTTTCCAAAAAAACTAAAGCCGTTTATCATTGTTATCTGCAAAATAATAGATTATAACTTGTACAATTATTATTTTACGATAATTAAAAAAAAATTAATTGTTGTTCTGACTCGTGAGTATAGAAGTAAAATCACACACAAAAATCAAATGGCATCTTAAATTCAGGTTAAATAAAAAATTTGACTGTGTAATGAAACTTTAGGGTAATTAACGAGAAACTGGCTAATATCATTCGATATACAATTATTTATGTTTCGATCGATCAATTGAAATTAGAACTGCAGTTTGAATCTGACCGCAATTGGAATTTATATCATATTAATTTCAATTTTGACTGATCAAATTCAGAATTTCATCATTTCACATAATATAAAAAAAAACATTTTCGTGATACGAAAAAAAGAAAACAGAAAAGAACACAATCCTGTGAAAAAATTAATTGCTTAATATGCTGTTCAATCGCTTGAAAATTACTCATACTGCTCAAATGAGAAATTTTGAGGAATCAAACTGCTCACAGCTCAAATGTTGATGAATTTACTCAATCTTTGAGTTATCGGTTTGGCACTGCAGCTTCTATGTATATTTCATAGAAACTCTGTGAAAGTACATAGAAGCTGCAGTGCCAAACCAATAACTCAAAGATTGAGTAAATTCATCAAAATTTGAGCTTTGAGCAGTTTGAGTAATTTTCAAGCGATTGAACAGCATATTGAGCAACTCATATGAGCAATAATTTTTCACAAGGAAGGAATGAAAGAGAAAAAGTTTTCTAACTATAATATTTTAATTTATATTATGTATAATTTTAAAAATATTTTTATTTTTTAACAAATTTACCAGTTTGAATATTTACTTTTCTGTAATCACTATCACCTTTTCTAAAATATTTTGTATTTACACCAATTGTTCTTGTTTTATCAACTTGATAACGTTGTGTAAATTTATTTTCTGACCAACCATACTGTTCAGAATTATTTGATAAACTATTTTGTACACGTAAAATATTAATTGATTTATTTTCATTTTTATCTTTTTCATATTTATTTAATGTTTCTTTTGTTTTTTCATCTACTGCTAATTTCGTATCAATTTTATATTTATTATCTTTTGAATCTGTAGGATCATCTGATCTTATACTTCCTGTTGGTCCAATTTTGATATTATTTGAATGCCATGATACTGCTTTTAAAAAATGTCGAGTAACTTCTCCATTATCATTATTTACGTCACAATTTTTATTAGTTAATTTAAGACTTTTAACAAATATATCTTTTCCAATTTTATTATTTTCATGATTTAAATAATTATTAAATTCTTTTACAAGATCCCCTCTACTACCTTTATATTCTTTAATAAATTTTTGAAAATCTTTTCGTATTTCTTCTTCTGAAATCATATGATGTTTAGTTAATTGAACATCTTTTTCATCATTATCTTCTGCACTAATCAAATTAAATACTTTATATGGGGCATCTGGTCGTTCATATGATGTGGAATTTACAGTTTTAATTATGGAATCAACTTCATCTTTATTCAGAAATATTTTACCATTAATATATTTTGCTCCTCCCATAGTTAATTTATGTTTTTTATATTCTTCTAATCGTTTAATATCTTGTGTTTGATTTGCAAGATTATCTTTATCACGTTCCATATGTTCTATAGTATTTTGTCTTAATTCATTTGGCTCTTTTCCTGTTTGTGCTGCAACAACATTAAATAAACAATTATTTTTTCCTGAATAAATATCTCCTTCTGGTTCTTTTCCTCCGGGCAATGTCCAATGACCTTGAGAATTATTTTCATTTGGTTTACAATATTCAATTTCAATTGCTTTACCATCTTTACCTTCACCAATAGTTCGTATGACATTTCCATTTTCATCTAATACTGTTATTGGTCGTCCGGCTGCTTCACTTAATGCACCTAAATGAACTAATCCAGCTTCCCCATCATCTTTTAATTCATCTATAATTTGATTGACTTTAAGTGCAGCGTTTGGATCTTTGAGACCATTTTTTTTAATTCATGGTATTCTATGAATTTCAGTTTTATTTTGAAAAATTACAATTCTTCTTTCTGTTTGAAAAGTAGCAATTTGATCTTGAATATTTTTATCAATTCCTGCTGTTAAATTTTTCATTCTATAATTAATACCAGCATTAGTAACAGGTGTAATTAACCCTTTCAGGACCGGGTTAATTTTTATATAAAAAGTGCTGTTCAAAAGTTGAAGACCTTTTTTATTTTGCAATATCTCGGCTTCCCTGACAGATAGAGACTTCATCCTTTTGTCAAAAGA